TTACGCTCGATTTTTTGTAACTGTCTTGTATTTTCCCAAGAAAAGTTTGCTGTTGCGCCCGGGGGACACAATTAAGACAAAGAAAATGATGATGATGAAAAGTTAGGAGCAGCAATACACGATAAGAAAATAACCGGATTAACGCAAGCAATCGTAATTTATGGCGGAGAAATAATATCGTAGTAAGTCAAGCCTTCACCGAATTATATCTGAAGACAGGTTGTGTTTTTTTGTCGCTCCCTCGACTGAAAGCATCAATTCTTCACGTTTTTGTCCGGGCGGTTCGTCATTCTTCGCCATATGCTAGCGCAGACATCGTCTTGGAGATTTTGACATGACTTCTTTAGTCGGAATTCTCGCATTTGCTATGTCGAGACTAGGTTAGGTTTTTTTAAGACTGTTTTCCGGAACTGATCGTGATCGAAACTATAAAATTTTAACACAGTTACAAAAAACTATTTCCACATTTTTTGTCTTACGGGACGACCAATCTTACCATGTCTGCCTCGCTAACAGTGTTGTGTAGAAGACAAACGAAAGTTATCGGTGGCCAATTTTTCTCTACCTTAACGAAAAGGAAGAAAAAAACACGCTCTCCTGATCATTTAAATTAATCGCGAATTGTTCTTCTTTTTCTTATGGAACCGTTACGTTAAGTTCGATAATCGTTCCAAAAATTATTCCATAGTATTTATTTAAGAAAACGTGAAAGATTATAATGGAAATTGATTGGAGTTTTCTAGAACGGAAAGCATATGAAAAGCTTACATATATTATAAACTTTTTTCATTTTCTTATCTAATATCAAATAAGAAAGGAAAACGTCATAATATATATGTGAAACGTTCTTTTTATACTTATAAAAATAAAAAAAAAAAATTAAAATGTTAATTAAAAGAAAAACCGCAAAATAGAAAATGTCAGCATTTCTAATTAATTTAATGCATAGGATAATTATTTCTGTCATGGCGACAAATTCAAATTATAAACCTTTATTTTTAAATTATATGTAATCTTAGAGAACAAAAACAAAAATAAAAAAAAGAAACTAAAAAAATAAAAAAAATAAAAAAAATAAAAAAAGAAAGAAAGGAAAACCATGTTAAGAAAGAAATGTAAATATAAATAAATGTTTAACTGATTCGGTCGAAGACAGACACCCATGCTTTGGTTTGTTAAGTTTGCGATATTATTATGACATTTATTGTTTTTGCTTTTTTTAATACCCTACATCCCACACGCGTTACAAGTACATATATATTAAGATTATACGGATATCTGCCACACATGCAGAGAACGAGCGTTTTTGAAAAATGATTCTAACCCCAATTCTAAGTCTGTCCGACTGTCTTGTTTATTTGTATTCAACCATACATACAGGACAATATTTTTGCTACATTTTGATGAAATTTGCTACTCTGACGTCTTTTGGCTCAAGGACGAACTCTACTGTGAAATGGTTCGGATCGGATCACATGTAAGGTCTTATTTTGAAAAGTCGTTACATAAACAAATGTAGGGCTTCTTTTTTTTTTTTTAATTGAAAGCATATAAATAGATATGTATATGTTTTTATAAATTTGTGATTGCGTCAAAAGCAATCATCAACTTTATAAGCATTCTCCATCTTAGCGACGAGATCAACGTAAAAGCGAAATTTTTTAATTACCCTGAAACTAGAAGATGACGAGAAGTAACAGTAGTGAATGGTTTAGCTTATCTCGATATAAAATTGAATGAAAACTTTACGTTTGTCTCATATAGCGACAACTTCTTTAGAATGTAATACAATCACTGAACAAAGATCGCAGGATATTATACAAATGCAGGACGACTGTTATGGGATTTTTAGGTATAGCCAACTTTCAAGGGCTGCTTTTGGTTTTGCACCGTTACAGTACAAATCGTATATATTGAATGAATAATCAATAGCCAGTCGTCCTACGATCAGTTTAATGAGTATGACTGGTAACATTCTTCTTCTCTAGATGTTGTCGTTAATAATTTTCGAAAAATCAATAAACTCAATACTAGAAAAATCATATTTTCTACCGGAAAAAAGGTTTCGATTAAAAGTAAAATTTTTGCAAGAATTTATTTAATCATATTTTGTAACCGAAACTAATTAAAAAATGTGTAAACTTCTTATTGTATTACCTGCAGTCAACTCTGTCATTGTCATTTAGAAGACGTTCGTGAAAAAAGACAAGTTAAACTCTTTCTTACACCTAATCTGCACAGGATGTAGAAAATTGATGAAAACATTACAGATGTACAGTGCGATGCCGTAAATTTGAATTTGCAATCAATAATGAGTTAAATGCTGTCAATGTAAATTTCGGAACGATATGCCACAAGATTAGAAAATTACTTAAAGAATTTTAAATCAATAAGTGATTCAACAAGTCAAGAAATTATAATCGGTCGTGACCGATTCTTTTCCATTTTCATAGCGATTATATCGAAACAAGTAAAAAAATTGTAACCGGGCAACGTCGACTATTTTATACCTTACACCATTTCGCCTAAAAAGTACACGTTATTCTCACGTAAAACCACAATTTTCATGAAAGCCCACATATTGGAAGGTTAGGCCTTCTCTCCCTATAAGAGTTTGGGTTTCGTGACAGCGCCTAAATATGTTGGAGTCTGGAAAAAATAGACCCAAATTCACTATCGTTACAAAGCTTCCATTTCCCTAGGAACTGTTGTATGAGAGCGGGTTCAAAAAATTGCCCCAGCCGCTTCAAAGTTTTCACATCAATTTTGTATGCCGAAATCCTACTACTTAGACACTTTTGCCGAGAAATTTTGAAAATTTTTCAATTTTTCAAAACTTCTTACAAATTTGCGATCTGCAGCTTGAACAAATAATATATGGGCAGACATCAGACGGACAGATAGGCTTATGATTTTGACTCGATCCATTCCATCAAAGGTGGATGCAAAGGGCAAAAAGCTTTTCTGCGTGTTACATACGTCCGCACTAACATAATGGGACGCTGTACCACATGTAGTGTAAGATACAAAAAGGGGAAGAACTAAATTTCAATCCTCTACAATATTGGATGGGCTCGGACTGATTTTTTTGTGTTTTCAGAAGAAAAGTGCAAACTTATATGGTGTATGTGCTGTACTATATGAGTGACGGGCGACAAACGTGGAAAGTGAAAGTGTTCATAGTTTTGGGAGGGGTCGTAGGCGTGCCCTTTGAAAATTTTGGATAACCTTCGAATTCTATTGCTACGGAAGAAAGTATATATCTTCAATTTCTTTTGTTAAACTTTTTCAAATGCTTCAAATGCTAAAAGGAAAAAAAAAAGGAAACACAGAGTTATCGTAGCACCATTCACTGGTAATTAAATTGAAATATATCTAAACCAAGTTTACAATCGATTAACTGTCGTGGTTGTAAAAGCACAAATCTTCCAAAGTTACGTAAGGAGAAACTATTACTATTCTATTATGTATTCTCTCGGTTTAGTTCCTAAGAAACTTTCTTCTAGCGATTTCATCGTTATCTGTGAAAAAGAATTTATATTACAATTAGTTAAAGTTCTTACATATGATTCGCAAAAGGCGAAAGGGAGCTCACAATTCATATAAAGCCATTGCCGGAATATCGAAATTAACTTCGTTTAGTACGGAAAGGGGAATAATACTTTCAGCATCGATCTCCTTTTCACTAAAGTTCGCAAGTCTGTTCTCTTTTGAATTTAGCCTTACATTTGGATCTCATACAAGACAACGTAATGCGAAGAAGAGGAATTGCTTCAGAGGAGACAGAACTATCAAGCCATATTCTAACCTTGTAATGTGATATGTATATATATAGATAGATATATATATCTATTTATCGATATCTATGTATATATCTATATATATATGTATACATGTATGCGCATATATGTATACAGATTGTCAAATTGAATGCAAAGACACCGATATCATGTCGTCATAATCATCCATAAAACAGAATTTTATTCCTTTCATTTTGCAATTTTGTATTTCTTTTACTCAGTTTAATGCTCTCATTCGATGTAGTCCTGTCGTTTCATTCGTCTGTCCCTCCGTCTGTTATAAGAAATGCGCTCTCACGTGACAGAAACTTTACATACTTATTTATAGTCATTGATTGAATAAGAGTACTTTTAACACGCCCATATTTAAAAAAATATTTTGCAATTCGAAAGATGTGATCTAAAATAGTAAGTAGGTAACAAAAAGAGTCTATTTATTATTTAAAATATAAATATATATATTTTTTTAACATATATATTTACATTTCATATCACTTAGGTTTTATGAATGCCGGCGACTCCATCACCGAATTAATGGTAAATGAACTCTTCCATTGCTCTCGCAGACAGATAGGTAGAATATGCACACGTATGATATTCGTATACAAATGACAAAATTACGTAGATATTGTTCGTATATGATAGACGGTTTTAAAGGCTTTGCAATTTTCCATATTTTTATCTCGTTTGTTTTTTTTTTTTAAAGTTTATATAAGATGTATTTAACGAGGCCAGAGAACTACATACACATGAAAAGCAATTGTTCAATTATCGCATTTAATCAAAAGTATTTTGTTTTTACTTTTCTCTTTTTTGCTTTAGCTAATTAACATAAACAATATATATAATATATATGCAATACACACACACACACACCATATATATATACATATATATATTTTTAGTATGTATGTATATGTATTTATTATATATCTATATAAATGTATATATATATATATATAAATATATGTATATATATATATATATGCATGCATATACACACGTGTGCTTCTACTTTAGATTTGTTTTTTTTTTTTTTTTTTTTTTGTCTTTGATGTGCATTATTTTGGTTTTTATTGCTTTTCATTTAAATTTCGAAATAATAAAAGCATTGCTTTAATAAAAATCGCCTTGCATATGATAGAGGCAAGTATATAAGCTTACTCATAACGTTTGTGTACCGCCTAGAAGGTGCGAATTTCTGTCAGGGAATAGCTATTTTTGCCTATAACAAAACTTCACATCAACTTACTTATTATGATCCAAATAGTTGTTATTGTATTTTGGAAAAACTACAATTTTTTATACTAAGAAAGTTGCATTAAAGGCCGCCGTGAAACGAACGAGGAAGAAATCTGACATTTCAGCTTTCATATATTTTTATATCCATCAAGGAGGAAGGGAAATTTATTATCCATTGTCCTTCCGTATGTAAGGTGTAAAAAATACACACCTTAACGTTTAAAATGGATCCTATAGACGTATGCTTGTTTAACAATAAGAGAGCAAATAACTAACGATAACGTTAAACGTATTAGTTAAAAGAAAACAAGAAAAAAACTGTTAAGAACAAATAGGTGGGCAAGGCCGATCTTTAAATAACCTATACCACATTCTCTAACGCAATTCTTATTTTTATTATACAACACAAAAATTATCTCTCGTTTCGATATATGAAGTGCGTAAGTCTTCTGGGTAAGCGGGCCCAAAACGCAACCTAATATAGTACAATTTCAATCCCTACATAAGGCAGGACCTAAAGATAGGCCGAGATGATTCAAATTTTGTAGGGTTAATTTTTTTACTACTTGTATTACTATTATGGGCCAATTTCGATCACCACATATTAAAATTTCGACTTTTCTATTCTACAAAGGATTCATTTTCGTGAAAATTCCAACGGTAAGGCAGGATCCAAATTATAGGCCGAGATTGTCCATATTAAATTACTGTTATGATATAATTTTCATCATGAAGCATTGAAAATTATACCTTTTTGTCCTATGAACTTCAGTTCCGTTTCATTATACGAGAGGTAGTTCAGAAATTGCCCCAGTCGCTCCAAAGTTCTCATACAAATCTCGAATGCCGATATATTGGTCACTTAGCCGACACTTTTGCCGACAAATTTTGAAAGTTGCAGCATTTTCCATATAATGACTTTTCAGAGTCGGGCGTTATAGGGAGAGGGATCGTCTGAGTGGACCAATCCGAACCATTTTCGATAGTTTTCGTCTTTGGATCAGAATACGTTACCAAATTTCATTAAGATATCTCAAAAATTTGCAACCGATGGCTTGAACACAAACTTACGTGGACAGATATCAGGCGGACAGACGGACAGACAGGCCTGCATTAATTCAGATATAGAATCCTGAACCGATAGTTATAATATAAAAGGTGGATCTATCTTAAATCCTTCTGCGTATTACATAAGACCGCATTAAGTTAATATACTTTGTACCACAAGTAGTGTAAGATATAGAAATAGAGAAAACGAAATAAATAAAATCGAATGAAATCGTAGACAAAGTTAGCATTGCTTTACGGCAATTTTTCAATAAGGTAATGTCGTTATCAATCCTTGCAACAAGTCAATGGGAAAGAGAAGAACGGTCAACTCTACAAACGCCATAGATGCATTGTATAATGTTTGTCTCTTCTTGTTCTTATTAAATGTTCGTTTTTTCTATGTGTTTTTTTGTTTTTCTTTTTTTTTATATTTACTTATTCACTTAATTGATTCATAATTACGTTTAGAAACGAGCTGTACGAACGTCTGTTCGCTATATATAAGACAAACACATATTTGCGGCTAAACGCCATATATGTATTTTGTATGTTTGTATGTTTGTATACAAAAATTTACTTTTCCATATGGATTATATTCTTTCGTAGAATAAAATTTTTTCTCCATTTTTCCCCTTAGTTTCTGGCATTGAGTGCAAGTATCATATGAATTTTTGTAATTTTTTTCGTTTATCATTATGCTAATAAATAATATTTTCAATGAAATTTTGTAATGCAGGTGTCGCAGTAATAATATCATTACGCAATTGCTAATATCTTGTTATTAAGTTGAAATCTTCGACGCACTGAAGTTTCTTAGAGTGAGCGATCAGAATCATATTTGGAAAAAATTTTTTTTTCTTTTTTTTGTTTACTTTAATATGATGTGAAAATTCTTTTAATAGGTTTTCAAGAGGCAGCGCCAGAGATGATATGAGAAAAGATCACTTTCGCCCTATATATTAATAGAAATGGTTTTACATCAGATTGCGATTAGAAGAGTTTTGAAATAACTGCAAAAAGTGCAAGACGAATAGGATGCACTACTCTTTTTGGCACCACCACCATGGATCAAGGGCATGTCAATGCTGAGAATTTTCTTAGAAATATTAATTTATGTCGATCGTTGTTGATATCGAATTATAAAATTTGGTTCATCTTTTTTTTCAGTCACTCAGAGCATGTCTATGGTTCGTGGAGCTGATTGGTACTGGTCGGTAGAAGGTGAAGAAGAAAGTGAAAGAGATAGGGAGGTGATGAGCGCAGTCTGGTGATTGTGTTCCCCCATCAGTAAGTATTATGCCACTCATTATAGCTACGGCCAAGGTAAACTCTACCGTATTGAGATTTAAACCCGCGAACATTGATTTGATGCTTGTGAGTCTTATCTACTCGGCTACTCTTGAGGATTGCAGTGAAGATTTACGCCTATTAAATTATTATTCAACCCTTCCAGGCTAGACTTGATCCGTTCTATTTATTCGCGGGCCTTTTCTTCTTTACATGCTTGCGCTTGTGCTTTCTAAGGATCAGAATTAAGCATATTGCGCGTCTCTTATCTATCTTGAAATTGCTCTTTCGAAATGTTTTGATTCGAGCGTCGAGCGAGGGTGCGGTCAACGTCAAAGTCACTTCAAGAAATTTAGGCTTGGGTTTTTTTTTTTTTCAAATTGATTCAATCATTTGTCTGCTTTTTTCACAACTATTTAGTCTTTCAAATGATCGAGTAGTTTGATTGATGTGAAAGACTATTGCGCGGGTAAACTTAACCTATCGTATTAGTTTAATAGATTTGCTTACATGAAAATGAATTTAAATCCTTTTCAATATAGTCAGCTCATATGTGATTATAACTGTATATGTAATAGTAATAATAATAATAATAATAATAATAATGTAATAAAGAATTATGTACTTACCTATCATTGTTCCGACAATTAAAGCCACCCCACTGAAGAGTCCCACCCGTCTCTGGAGGTGAATAGCGTCGTTCGTCGCTGAGCCATTCCTCTCCAACGACTTCCGCACCCCCCCGGTCCCTGATGAGTCGGTCTCTGTCGTTTCGGGCCCTTCTGCTCCAAAGGAACCGTTGGCACACGCTGACCCATTACTCGTGACTTTGCTTGACACATTTTGTCCTAAATATGTTTAACGTTTCCAATTAAATCATTTTGCGAATGCAAATAACATGCAAATGCATTATAAACATTTCATTAAACAATAACGAACGAAATTGTTTTTGCATTAAAGTTTATTTTTTCATATAATATAAAGATAAAGAGAAGAAGAGAGAGAGAGAGCGAGAGAGCAAAAAGAGAGAAAGAGAAAATAAAAAACAAAAAAATGAAAAAAGGAAAATATTTATTAATAATTTTCAACCACTTGTAAATTTTAAGCATAAACTTTTTATTTATTTATTTATTTATTTATTTATTAATTCATCTATTTATTTATTATTTTATTTTGTTAATTCGTTTTCGCAAAATCAAAGGCACACACCTCGACAATCTGTTGAATTATTCTTGCATGCGTTTTTTTGCAAGCAAAAGAGTTGAGAAATTTTATCGCGCATGGCATGGACGGATTACAAATTTTGCAAATTATTTCGCCGAAAATATTTGTCCCAGGAAACGGTGAATTTTAATAAACTGTTTATATATATACCTCTCGCTACTAAAAAGAAATTCTTTGTTAGCGATTAACGCTTTTTTTTCCTTTCCTTAAATCAGTTAATGAGTTTTTCAAAGAGAGAACGAATTGTTTATGCTTTCAAGTATAAATCGTACCGATATTTCTCAATGTGTAAATATAAAACCGAAAATATCACAAACACACGCCAACGATAATTCTCTGCCCGGAGCACAATGCTGAGAATGAATTTTAAATCAAGAGCAAATAAATTTTTTTTTTCTTTGTTTTTTTTTTTTTTTGTTCTATTCCTTACGTTTTGTGTAATGCCCGGAAAAGCAGAGGCACAGAGGCAGAGTGACAGAGAGATACAGAGAGAGTGAGCGTGAGCGAGAGAGCGAGAGAGCGAGAGAGTGTATTTGTTGGTTACGTAGGTGTACGAATACACTCAAAAGAGAGAAGGACAAAGAGAAAATGCTCCATTCATTTGTATTTGTATTAAAAAAAAAAAAACAAATACTCGCACAACACCTTACCATACGAATCAGAGAAAGTGTTTTTTCTTTTCTTTTTGCTTTTCTATTTTTTTTTTTTTTGCTTTTAAGTATAATCTCACACAGCGAACTTGATGAAAAAAAAAAAAAAATTGTATTGATTTTTTCCTATTATGATTTTCTTTTAGTATTTAATAATTATGTGCATATAAGCGAACGTGCTTTCCGTGCAAAATTCAATCTCTTAGGTATTTTCTATTGTTTTTAAAAGCCTCCAGGAAACTTTGCTCCATATTGCAAATGAAAAGTTCTTCTTGTCTTTTTTTTTATTTTGTGTTCTTTTTTATTCTTATATTTAAAAATTTTTCCTCTCAGAAAATTATATAAATATCTCTTTCGTATCTTTAGGGAAAAGAAGAATTTCTTCTAATTTTTTTTTTTTTTTTTTGATTAAAATTATTGAAGAAAATTTATTTGTTTTATTTCTTTTTTTTATCTCTCCGATATATATATATTCATATATATGTTTTTGATTGCACAAGGATTTTATTATGTAAATTAATATTTTTCATTAAAAACGAATGATTTTTTTATAAAATTTTATTGGGTTTTTTGCAAAAATTTTCATCCTTTTTCCAATTTTATTCAATTTTTCTTTTTTCCCCCGATTTTTCGTCCCGAGCTGATTCGTTGCAATTTTAAAATTCAACTGAGCCCTCTGCATGAAAGTGTTCGCCTGAAATATGTTCAATCATCGGTATGCGCGCATTAGTTTATATTCATTTCTTCCCCAGAAGAACGTAAACGAACATGTGAAAGAGGAACTTTTTTGAGTTATTTCGTTGTAAGTGTATACACATACAAATGTATATATACATGTTTGTATATGTAAGTCTAATATAACAAACTCAATACGCATTGTCTGTAAATTGTTTATAAACTGAGTTATTTATTAATTGCTGAGCATCGCTTGCCATTCAATTGATACTTGCATTATTTTTTTAATAAATAATCAATTTAAAATTCTGCTTTTTTTAATTGAAATAATATCAACATTGTTTAACCCATACATACTATCATCGATAGATTTGTTATGAAACTTGCACAATAAAACACGGAATGGTGTCTTAATATTTTATTCATTTTATTTATTTGTTATATCAACAACAACAATTCGTCATATCTTTCCCTTACGACAGACATTACAAGCTATTGCCTTTGTTTTGCTTTTTTTGCTTTGAACATATTATATTAATTTTATCAAAATTTCCTACACATATATGTCCGATATATGGAAACGAAAACCGAAAGTTTTGCGGACAATTTAAAATATCATCAAACACATCCAAATTTTATATATATGAGAATTTTATTTTCCATGCCTTTCATTTCTTTTTCAAACTTTATCAAATGTTTGTAACGCCTAAAAGTATGTATCAAAGATGCCATAGCGCAAGTAAATGTAAAAGGGTCACAGTACAGTAAAAGCTCCTTATTTGCGCTTACTTCAATCGCGGTTTCACTATTCGCGAATGAAAAAAATGCGACCCAATTCCCATATTCGCGGCTATAAATTTTTTTATTCGCGGATTTTTTGTGATTCGTTCCGGAATTGTTTTGTTTCTCAAGTTGAAGTTTATTTACAAAAACCGAATTTAGACTTTAAAGCATTTCTAGTTTTGGACTATGCATCAGGTCATCCTCGCGGACTTGAAACTATGTATCTAAACATAAAAGTGACATTTTGACCTCCCAGCACGACTGCTTTGCTTCAAACTATGGGCCTTTAAGCTCGATTACATTAGAGGAACCTTCAAAATCATATCGGATAATATGGAATGTAGTCCTGATATGAATGTTATGGAATGCGCGAAGAAATTTGACGTAGCAGAATGGATCGGGAACATAAAAGAATTATTGGAAGAACTGAAGCCACACAGATTGAAGTAATGCTAGAAAAAACTGTGGCCTACTCTGACTGCGAAAACTGACGAAGTATGTGTGCAAGTTTAAACTTTGACTGCAAACATAGCCGAAATCGCAAATGGAATGGGACGAGATGGGTTCGAACAGATAGCATCAAGTGACATTCAGGAATTGCTTGAATCGCAAGATGAAAATTTGACTGAAACTGATTTGGAGGAAATGTTAAATTCGCCGTCCGTTGAAGCAGAGGCTTCAACAAGCACTGGAAACGTGATATTTAATTTGAAAAGTCTTAGTAAAGGTTCAAGAATGGCAAGTGAGCTTGGCGATTTCTTTATGAACATTGATCCTTCTATGGAACGAAGAGGCAAACTGCTAATGCGACTGCTCCGTCTCAGTCTGAATTGAAGGAGCTTTTAAACACTGCCGAGCAAGAGAAATTTGCAAAATTCTTTAAACCATTGCCTAAGCCTTAAGATAATTAATAAACCAAATGTTCAAAAACTTTAATTAAATTGATTTTTTTATATTTTGTCACCTAGGAACATATCCTATCTATAATCCCATACATATTCCCCTATAATCCCATATAAATTACCATTCCTTATTCACGGTTTCTTTTTTTTTGATTTTGTCACCTAGGAACGTATCCCCTATAATCCCATGTAAATTACCATTCCTTATTCACGGTTTCTGTATTCGCGGCATTTTTATGGAACGTATCTTCCGCGAATAATGAGCTTTTACTTTATATGTTTATCGCAACTATCTCATCATTCTAGGCTAACTAGAATGTGAAAAGCGTAAAATCGATTCATCCGTACGTCCGCATACATATTAAATTGTGACCTAAAAATTGTATACGTCTGTCTGCTCTTATTCGAATGTTTCGCAAAACCAACGAAACAGAACAGACGAGTCGATTTAGTTTTATTAGAAAATGTTTCAAAAACCCACATGTAAATAAATCATTTCGAACCGATGGCCTTTGATGTTAGTGCTGTTTTGCTTGTACTGCATAAAAATTAATTTTTTTGCAATGTTATGAAAAAAAAAAAAAAAAATCATATAGTATTTTGGATCATATTCATGCGAGAAGAAGAATAATGCCTTAAGCAAAAATGTATACCTGAAAGGGGGGAACAGAGTTTCCCTTCTTAAGATTTTAATTGTGTTATTCGCTCGGATCGACTAATCACTATTGATCACACAATCAATTCATAAAGAGACTTAACGCTTGGAGATTGTTCTGGTTCTGTTCAAAAGTTAATTACAAATCCTTTTATATGATACCCATATCGATAAGATTGCGGAGAAACAATCATTCGATTAGGTCGCGGGATCCTCGCGATATTTAATTTAGAATTAACACACTCAGCTTTTGGTCTTCTACTCTCCAAGTCTTTTTATTATTTGATACCCAATTAGTTATACTGCTAAGAACAACAACAAATTCTCCACCTTATCGGATCCATCATTAAGAATTAACGCATTTTTAATCCGATAATAGATGTGCAAACATGAAATGTACAGTTTTTTGTGGGCGGGTCAGATCTTTTCCTTCTTTAGAAATTAATTATAGAAAATTTCATCTATTTTTCCATAATTTATGAGTAATAAGCAAAAAACCATAAATTTTTGCTTAGAGAAATAAATATGTGTCCAGTTTACGTAGTACTGCGGATGTGTGCTTTGACCAATTTATGGCATTTCCAGTAGCAAGGTGTGCACAAGAACTTTCGTTTGATTTTTGTGACTAGGAGAATCTTAATCGCAGACATTACACAGACGGACAGACAAACCGAAATGCTTAGATCGGTTTACAATTTAAGGCTGATCGAAGAATATATATACTTTATGGGGTCTCTGGAGCTTACTTTTTGGGAGTTGGCGTCCCCTCATCCTTCGATAATGGGACGATAACTCGACATCAAAATTTTTTTTAGTTGAGAAATTGGGAAAATGCTCAGGTAACTATAAAAATTTCCGAGAAATCTAACAAATAAAAGGAATAATAAAAATATTAAAAATCTAGGGTATTATGGACTTGATTTCAAAAGGTTTACAAGTAGAGGATACGCTTAAGACGACGACAGTTGAACTGTGACAATCGGTCAATTGTCTGTCAGCTCATTTGGAGTGAAATATTTTCAAAGCCTTTAGGCCTCTAATTTCTGTAAATAAAATCTACCCTATCCACAGTCCCGCGATGCGAACATAATCTGGCGAACAGAAGAAAAACCACGAAGATCAAAAAATTCATTTTTAGTGGTGACTTTTAGTCTTCAGTTCTTTACTAAACCCATATCTTTCCGAGAAAGACGACATAAAGTGATGGGGAAAAGATGAGCAGCTCCTAAGCTATCGCATAACTAAGTACGACAGTAGTTAAAGAGTCACCTTATCCGGCTTCAATTTTAATGTCCCTTGCATGAGGCCACACCTCAATTACGATTGATGTGCGAGCGCAGTTATAGTGAATGCTTTGTCGCGCACTTAGGTTACGTATCTTCCAGGCTGCAGCTACCACTTACCTCTCTGTCCCTACTTCTTTATAGTTATCGTGTTTATGGAGGACAACTTTCCAGTGATTAGTCATATAAAAGAAAGAAAGTGACACAAGCTATAACTTTGGATCGTTACTCGTTATGGGTAAATGCAGAAACCAAACATTTGCAGAGAGATCTTATTAAAACCGAGAATCAATGACCGCAAAATTTGAAGCAAAGTAATTAAAACCTAATGACTTATTACCTGGCTTATTACCTAGAAGACCTTATTACTTATTACCTAGAAATTACTCCCTTGTAGATTTGCAAAAATAAAATTTATCGAGAAAACCCATTAGCTCCTCTTTAGCAAATAACTGAAAATTGAAGCTTTAAGGATTTTTCGTGAAATATATTTAAATGGGGTGCGGATATGTTAATAGACAGAGCGAAATAGTCGATTCAATGGGAAATCTTTGCATTATTCCCCTTGTTCACGTTTGCTTTCAGTGATGGGCTTGCGCGACAAATCACTTATTAAGTTCAGTTCTTTTCAACAATGAACATGACGTATCGGCGGCAGCACACGAACAGCCGAGTAGGTAAGATTTGAAACACACATACATTTTTAATGTCGTGACTTGAAATCTCATTGTGGTAGAGTTTACTTTGGTCGCAGTTAGAGGGAGTGCGCAGTCGGTGAAGGCGGGCATAACCCTTATCGATCGTGCGGACAACCATAGGCTTAAGCAGCCATTTCCCTATCTTTTTGTCTTTCCTCCCTTCTTTCCGACCTCCTGACTGATGAGTCATATAAAAAAAAAAAAAAAAAAAAAAAAAAAAAAAAAAATCTATCGATATATGATTGACTTCTTCTTCCTCCCCAATCTGCAGTTGTGGACAAACTCCCACTATAAAGCACATTCTCTGCGACTGCCTTAACTTTTCCTT